CAAAACGTGATTACTTTTATGTGTAGGTGAAACAGGATCAAGGACAGTCAGATTAAAACAATCGAGTAAATCCATAAAGCGATTAGCATTATTATCTTTAGTGTCATTGATGTGAAAGTTAAAATCTCCAGAAATTATCAGTTTGCCAGAAGATGTAACCAGTCGTTCCAAGAGAGTAGTGAAATCATCATTAAATAGCAAGCTATTTGAAGAGGGTGGACGATAAACAATAACAATACGATAAGTAGACGATTGATGATGAAGTTAGCCTTGCATTCAAGGTAATTTAGAGAAGGGTCCATTATATACGTACATTAACGTGACCCAGGCTTTTACCAGTAGGGACCACTGAGGGGTCAGAGATTGGAGAAGATTATAGCCTGCCCCCCACTTTTTACATTTTGCACAGCAGTCTTTTATATCATCCAATCATAGCCTCCCTACAACAAGTGTAGACCCCCTTACAGTATGTCGGAATGCAGCTCAGTTTGGAGGACATAACAATAAGTTTCCAATTCTCAAAAGATTGAAATTTTTTGGTTTTGTCCTCCAAATAGACCTCTTCGGCTCTGACGTAATATTTTCCCATTTCAGACCACATGCCATTCCATAGAGTATCATTTCTTTGTTTAAGGTTTGTGCTCGGTTGCACATGATCACAAGAAGACACATATTGGATACAGGTCAAACAAAAAATCTTATTCTCAAGGGAATGACACGTGGCCTGAAATGGGAAAACATTACCCCAAGCCGAAGAGGTCTATTGAGCTACTGTACTTTGACATCACATGCAAGGGATCTATTAACCTAAGTATGGTACCTTATTTCCAACAAGAATACATGGAATATTCTTTCCTCCTGGTAAAGTACACTTGCTGTCCAGGTCTTGTTTCCATCTAATGGTGCTATTGAAGGTTTGCTGACTGGTCAAGTCAAACATAATGACACATGCTGCCGCACCTTTGTAATATACGCGAGTCATTGAAGTAAATCTCTCTTGGCCTATGACAAAAGGGAATAAATATTACATTCATTCCTGAGTCAATCAGAGATATATACCAGTAATACATCTGTCTATCTAATATCCATTCTTCCATATATTATTATTCAATATTTATTCATTCCTTTCATTGATTTGCTCTTGTGATTTATTTATTCAAACATTATTTGTGCATTTATCCATTTGCTCATTCATTTTGTTTTATAATTTCATTCATTCATTTATTACTTTCTCATTTCTTTTTTCCTCCCCATTTTGATTTATCTATTAAAGCATAAATTCATTTGCTTAATTTTGTCCTCATATTTTGTCCTACTTTCTTTCTCTTGTCTTTTCTCTCTCTCTCTTTCATTCTTTTTTCTTCCTTGTCTTTGTTTTCATATTTCTTTCTTGCTCGCTCTCTTTTATGTACCCAATATAATAATGTTATTGGATGATGAGTGGGGGGAGGAGGGGGGGGGGAGTATGGGAGGGGGGTGTTCAGTTTAGTATGCTTTACATGTAGAATCTTACCTGCAATATCCCATAGCTTGCAAATTCAAAGGTGCCCACAGAAAATGTGATAAAAAGAAACAAAGATGGCAAATTCAAAAATCAAGTATGTAAAAATAATGATAGCCAGTTCCAAATCAATAAAAGCCAACCTGTAATCTCACTGTAGTGTTTTCTTTTCTTATTACTTTAAGGGCAAAATCAACTGCAAAGATCAAATGTATTAAATATATCAGAGGCTTAAAATATTGAAGAAAACTATTCTCAAGCAAAACTGGGCTGCACTGGAACATTACATGCCCCAATAAAGGCTAGGCATGCAGTGGGTTTAGGAAAGAGCAGCAACTTTAAAAGAATTTCTTCAATTTATTAGGTGTCTATCGCTTTCACACAAATTGGGGACACTTTTCACACCCTACCATGCATGACATTCAATGTTCTATGTACACATTGCTCAAGAAGGAAGAAAACCGGAAAAGCCAAGGAAAACCCTCGTAGCATAGGAGAGAACAACACATCAAACAAACTTAATTCACATGTGGCAACTGCAGGGCTCAAACCAGCAGCCAGAACCTGCTGGACTCACAGCAGCGAAAGACAACAGTTAGCAGCATTTGTAACCCATGCTAACTGATGCTCTAAAACCTCTTATATCCCAAGCAACGTACAGCACTGATTGAAGATGTTGACAATAATGATGATTAAGATTGTGATAATATGTTTTAGATCAGTATGAAGGTTATTGATGTGATGATGACGGAATGATAATATTCATGATGATGGTGGTGGTTGGTAGTAGTATGTACTTGTGACAAAGGATGACACATGATAATGGTGATGATACGATAGCAACTTTTAAACTGCAGGTAAAATAACTCAACCAATGGAAATTCGAACCTGTCGTCTAAAAAGATACCAAAAAAAATCTTTCAAAATTGAGCTATCATGTTGATAAAAACATTACCGATCCTGAAAAAAAGATAATATAAATCGTAATATTTTTAAAGAAAATTCTAAGGCACATTACTTTATTTCTATTGCTATTCATTAATGGGGCATCGTTTATACCTCCAATAGTTGGTTTGTACTCCCTTCTTGAGTTCCCATGCACGTATCTTTGCACGAAAGAGGTTTTGCCAACAGTAGCATCTCCAACTATCAAGACTTTGAACAGCACTTCTGACATTCTAATGCAAAAAAATCTAATAATAATAATAATAATTGTCGTCACGAGTTCTTTAGGTTCCGTCCGCCATGCATCTTTGTCAACGTTTCCCAGCTCACGTGATAATCACTTCTATACCGGAAGTCATTGGTTGTCGACACTTCCGCTTTCTAAGGTCATTTTGAAAGGGGGAGGGGGAGTTCATTTTGAAGGAGGGGGGGAGGGGAGTTTGATTATTTTTATTTGATAAATTCAAAATTTTCTTTTTGGTTTGAAATCTGTTATTTCTAAAAAACGCCCTACTTTTTTCTTTTAAAGAATTTGTGGGTTTGTTGGTTTGTGGGGGACGGGTATCATAACTTTTCAGACGATCAAGGAGTTTGAAAATATTTTTCTGGGGGTATTATTTGTCAATATATTTTTTTGGGGGGGAGAGGTGGGGGTTAAAACTTTCATTTATTTTCACCCTGTGTTTTCGAATTCCCTAAGAAGCTAATTATCCTGGTTAACCTTTTTGGTTATTATTGATTAGCTTGATTAGCTTTCACTTATTTCTTAGATATTCTTATCATATCCCAATATATTGTAGCGATGCAGGTGCAAATAAAGTATAGTTGTTGTCCTACCAGTTTTACTGAGGTGATACCCAACCTCAGCTGTCTAACAAGATGTTCCTAGGGTTGTYGTGCTTGCTTCTTTGTTGCATGAAAACTGCTAAGAACATCTGCGTTGGAGGCTAAATATATATCCCCCTTTCTTGCCTAAGTTTGATAATCTTGTCAAATGGTTAACTATAAGCACAAACACCATGGTAAGAGCATTCYCTTCAATTTCTTTTGCTTCTCCACATATAAATATATTTTATTTACAAAATTATGTTTAAAGTCTTTAAACTGCCTAACAAATTAAGGCAATTTGAGTATCTGTACAATTTGCCTTATACTGATATAGAACAAAATGAAGACCTATTCAGCTTAGCCTGCCGTGCAGATGTTTTTAGTGTYGGCTCCTTCCAACACTAAAAACGTCTGCACTGCTGGCTAATTCAGCTTGGCTGAAATGTTTTCCCATTTCAAACCATTGCCATATTCCCCGAGAAACAATATTTCTTTGCCAATATCAATGAACTAGATGCATTTTCTTAAGTGTTGCTTTAATAAACAATAGATTGCATGCAGGGTGACTTTTAACTCTGGTGCAGGTTAATGTCAGGCTGCAAACAGGCTAGTAGACAAAGAATTAATGAATACCCAAGGGATTGACATAGTCTGCTGGGATAACATGGTATTACTTCCAGTGATATTACTGTAAAAAAGACTGATATAAAGAGACCAAAGTACACTTCAAAGATACATCAAACTCTAAAACTCCCAGCAACTTTCAGAACAAGCACTTCAAGCAGCTTTGTTATGACATGCAGGTCCGTTGCTAGGACCTCAAAAGGGCAAGTTCGTTTTTCTACTAATCTTAGTTATAAATGCCATTTCTTGACAAACATTTTATCATTTATCATTTATTTTTTGGATCTTATTGTATTTATTTGTATAAGAGGAGATGGTCATTCGCACAATAAAAGGACTAGACTGCATGTACAGGCAATCAGATTGCACTCATGGTTGGTATACAAGTCATCGAAAGATGGAAGTCATACCTACTGCCAATAACCAAATTCAGGGGYTTTTATTTATTTGGACAAAGGGAGGGGTTAGCAAAATAACTCTAGGGCATTACTTCAATATGTTATTCACTCACTCAACTGGGAGTTGGCAAAATTTTAATTCCACCTTCCCCTCCCCCTGCAATATTTTCCCAAAAATTTGATACTCCACAGGTCTTTYCTGAGTTTAATAATAGCTTTCATACAAACACCACATAATGAACAAGAAGTTTGTACCCAAGCTAGACCACAATGCACCAGGTTTGTTATCTCAGAAAAGAACTTTTGGTAACAGAGCTTTCCAAAATTGCATAATATCATCTTCCTCCAGAAAATGTTTTTGTCAATCCCTCTATGCTAATAAATGAAAGCCCCCTAATATTTATAGTTATGTGAGAATTTTATTATTGGGCAAGTAATATTATTCATTTGTAACAAGTGTTTTGATAAGAATATTAATTTGAAAAGTGCTTTGATTTGCATAGAAAAAATAAATTGTATTGTACATGTATTACATTGCATGTCCTCGGCAAGTCATTTGGTTATTAAAAGTTAAAGAGTAGCTAAAGTGTGTAAAGCTGTGAAAACGTGTTGCATGGCAGCATAATGATGTGGAATATACTGTATGATCGTATGAAGTCAGTGATAGGGATGTGCCGTATGGATTTGAAAACTTTGACCCCATCTAAGACAAAAGTATTCTTGAAAAAAAAAACCAGATTGATCATTGAACAGATTAGTCTTAMTATCAGTGGYGGATCCAGGATTTTTYAAAGCGGGGTTRCGTTTCTTAAACTGTGTATAATTCTTTTTTGTTTAGTCGATGTTTGACAAAAAAATTGGCTCAAATCACCTAATTTACWATCTAGTAACGGACCAAGCTATAATGACACGACCCAACGCAAAACTACTAATATTTTTTTATTAAGATTTACATAAGACATATTTCTATTACCTAAAAGATCAAACCTTCAAGTGGGGTTSTGTGGACCCCTTCGACCCCCCCTGGATCCGCCACTGAATATTAATATATTAACAAAAATTATAATCTTCTAACATTAGCTCCAAGAAGTTTTATATAATGAGAAATTTAAAAAATAATTTGTGCTTTGCCACGAAGAGACTGTAAATAGCAGAAAATCTAAGAAAATTGAAATAAAACTAATTGCACTATAAAATATGTACATGATATATCTAATTCCATGAGAGTGCATTTGAGACTATTTTAATTGATTTATTAAGTTATATAAATATCACTTGCATATATTTATATTTTTGTGGTATTAATTTATATAGAGATTTGATTGACCTATGCACGATCATGATACATGGTAGGTGATTTGTCAAGTTTTGGTATTTTGGCACTTAAAAATAGCATATTATAAATTACATTTATCAGTATTAAGAATATGAAGCTGATTAGTAAGGTTGGGGGAAATCTAGCCCTATCCTCATTCTATTAAGAAATGTTTACCCAGATGACTTTTAAGCTAGCCATGCAATGTAAAACATAATGTATAAATTTCCCTGGACTGTTTAGACAATTTTGC